TAATTTAATTAATAATTAATTTTAAGCAAACAATATTGTGTGTAAAATGTTAATTATCAATTTAGGAATCACTTTACAGAATCCAGTGGACCTTGTACTTCTGTCCCACAACAAACAGCAAGACGAGACCGAGACATTGTTACTGCAAACAGATCTCGACTTGCAACAGAAAAAGTTAAACTGATGTTCTCGCACATGAAGAACATGAAGATAGTCGCCTGCAATATAGAAGAATGACAGAGCTTCCAGTGGTGTTATGATCATTTTGAAATGCACTGTAAGCTGATACATGCAGCATAATAATGCAAGTTAAAATGTTGATTTTTGCTGGGAGAAAAAAAAAATGCTTGGCTGCATCTGGAAACCAGTGGTGGACGAAGTACACAAATCAAGCACTTGAGTAAAAGTACAAATCCGTATAATAAAATATTACTTCAGCAAAAGTACTGTTTTCAATTTTACTTGAGTGAAAGTACAAAAGTACTTGATTTTTTATGTACTTAAGTAAAAAGTACTTGTCTGTGGTGTAAAAACACCCCTGGCCAAATGCCCCCAGAGGGCATCACTTCCCACTTTGATAATAACTGTAGTTACCATGTTCTGAACATCACATCCTTTCTTTTCCCTCAGATGTAATCTATCTAGCTGGTTGAATACAAATATTTGGACTTTTTTTATTTTTAAATTACCTAAATTTAGCACCAGCAAGCTCGCTAGCTAGACAGTTAGCATCAGCTAACAATATTTACTTATTTTCAGTATGGTTATGAATAAACATTCATATCTGTCTACTAGTAAAGCTACTCCGTTACTGTCCACCACTGCTGAAAGCTGGAAAACGCTGCCTTCGGAGGACGCATTCCAAGTCATCAGGGATCCAGTTACTAACTCTGTCATGGAAACTAGCATTAAACTATTTACTAATCAATTCAAAGGAAACATACATCTGTACAGTGGCGCAAAAACAGGGTATGCAGTATATGCGGTGCCATTTTGCCAAAATTATTCTGTGAAAATCTCTTAATAAAATGTTATAAATAATCGAAAGCTTAGTTGTTAAAAATAATGTAATGAAACATTTTTATTTAACTGTTTTTAGCATTTTTATTTAGTTCAAAAAAGTATTTATTATAAACGGAGTACATATCAACGCTCACCATTCGACACATTCTGTCACAGTCACATTAGCAAAGTGACCAGAGGAGCGAAACGCTCTGGTGCAGAACACACGAGACAAAGCGGAAAAGAAAAACAATGCATTCAAAGGAGGACAGCAATGTCCAAATGACAGAATAACAGAAATTGGTAAGCTTACACTATTATTTTTTCATTGTCATGAAGTCATTCAACGTTGTTGACTAAGAGGGCAAAGTGATTAACGTTAATATCAGTTCATTACTGAGGATCTATTTCTTAAAATAAAGTCACAACATGTTTGTGAATGGGCATTTGATTTACATTTGAGAGGAACTGAGACGATAAGGATACAAACTAGCCACCTTTTGCAGAAAATTGCCATTTTGAATTCAAAATATCAAAATATTTATTCATTTGTGTGATTCAAGTAGATGAGTTTTTTTGAAAATTCTTGTTACTTCATACTCCAGTACAAAACAACACTGAACTCTGACAAAAAAAAGTGATGTTTTAAATGTTATAATAGTGATTTTATAATGTCTAAATATAAATCCAAAAGTAAAACGTAAAAAGAGCTATAGGCTATTACTGAGTGGAAATGGTAGGCTAAATGAGACTACAAATGATCCTCTGCTGCCATCTAGTGGTCATAGTGAGAATATCATGATATTCATTTTAATAGTATTTGGTTTTCTTCCAGGTGGCAGAAATCGTCCACTTAAGCACGGCAAAGTTTCCATGAATTGCCTCTATAAGTAGAATGCAGATGTTCTTTAAAGTGAATTTTACATACAGTGTTCCCATTTTATAAAAAAGGCGCCATCTTCTGGAGAGATGCGGCAATTAATTCAGCACCTGATAACGGACACTGTGCTTCTGGACAGACCTGCAGTGGGTGTTTGATTAGGCTCGTCTCTTACGCTCTGGACTCGACTGGCACGCCAGCTGACCGAGTTATCAAAGGTTCAAGATGAATCCCTGATCACTGTCATCATAATCCATCACGCTTCTGGTAAACTGTGCCTCTGTTATCAGACCTATTCAATAATCACGTCACAGAATACTGAACAACCTTCTTTAATTGCAGGACCAAATTTAATCGGAAAATTGTAAAAAATATCAAATTCATACAAATGCTCTTTAACGGAGATGGTGCTAGTAGCAAAGTGTACAAAAATGAGGGGAACAACAAAAACCGCTTTTAATATTTCATCTACCCATCTGGAGTCCGATCAGCTTCATTTCACACTCGGTGTTCTCTCGCAGTGAGACAGACGAGACACAGCTGACCTTCGATCAGTGCTCTTGCTCTGCTCCACAAATCACACAAATCAACACATTTAAAAACCACCAGCGCCGCACCTTCGAGCCTGAATCCCAGACGTCTGATTACAAAGGTTAACGACGCTCGCACCCCCGCCAATCATTAAAAACACAAGCGTCCAGAAGAAATCACTAAGAAAGGAAGCTCTTCAGCTCGATCAGTGCGGCTAGTCCTGCTAGCCTGCGCGCGCTCCCATCAGCCCCTGCTGCGCTGCGACTGGCTCACTGGAAGCTCTCTGGTTCTGCTGGGGCTTTACGAGCCCAGACGAGGCCTCTTGCGCGGTGACTGCTCCTCGTCAGCGCTCTCCTCCTCGTCCTCATCGTCTGGATAGTCCACCAGCCCGGTCTGCGGAGCACAGAGCACAAACCTACAGTCTCCATGTTATCTGATCGACTCCTAGTTTTCATTTCAATGAGATAAAAAATACAATATGTGACCCTGGAGCACAAAACCAGTAACCAGTGACCATTAGGGCTGGGTATCGTTCAAAATTTTTTGATATCGATACCTTGACTTCGATACCGGTTCCTGAACGATACTTCTTTCGATACCAATTTTATGAACTCAATTTTAACAAGATTACATTATCTAAAAAAAAACTGGTTTTATTTTTCAGCTTGTTGATGTTTATACAAACTCATCTCCTGAGCCACTGCACAAAGGAAGAGCAGACTGCTCCGTGCGCTTTCGAATCGCTCTCGCGGATGTCAAACGCTGATCGATCTGTCGTGTGCTGCAGGCTTATTGGCTCACTGACGCTGATGAGATTAACCCCTTAGGTATCGCAATTTGGTACCGAACGACGAGACGTTTTATCGATACTCGATGGTATCGAGGCAATTCGGCCGGTGTCTAAAAAGTATCGAACTCGATACCCAGCCCTATATACTGACGTAGTTAATATGCAAGAAGTCAGTTCCGGCTCGGAGCAAGCTTTCCTGCAGTGAACAGAACGAATGCTGTTCTCTGATCTCTGTGCTTCAGACGTGTGCGCTGCACGCAAACAGAGCGCAAGTTCTTCCCTTCCTGCGCTTAAATCGTTCAAAATCACACTAAGATGTGAACGCAGGAATGGTTAAGCGGGACTGAAACGCAGGCGTGTGAGTGGATGTAAGGTGTGTGGCGTACCCGGGCCGTCTGGCCTGAAGGTGGCGCTGCAGCTCTGCTGGAGGAGGCGGAGGGAGGAGGTTTGGAGCCGTTAGCCGTGTTAGCCGCTCCAGACGAGTGAGAGAAGCTGAACTTGAAGCTGCCGCTTGCGGTCCGCTTGGGCTGGTTCTCCTTGTCCTGACTCTCTTTCACTGAAACCAAACAGACTCGCGGGAAATACAAGGCACTTCCAGCTGATAAGCTTAGAGTAATCATGCCTCATTTAAGACCTTTTAAACACATTAAGACCAAGTAAAGATAATTTAAGAAATAAATTGAATGGAACACAATACATCAATATGGTCTTTAAACATAAATGTCTTATTAGTAACACTTCAAAGTCTGAAAAATACAGATTCCAACAGATCACCATTACTTTACAATAAAATAAAAAGCTTGAATAGCTCTGCTCAAAACACTAGAACATGGAAATAACTTTTACTGTACCTTCTGATCACACGGCATAAAAAGTGCTGTAGTTCCTCAATATTTCTCGTTTTCTAGAGTGAATGTCTACAGATTCTTAAAGCAAGATCTATTTACTGGAGAAGCATCATGACTAAAGTATTGTGAAACTGATCAAAGTGAAGGGAGTTAAATCAACTCAATTCAAAGAGAAAACTAGTTTCTGTTCCCCACTGATAGATATTTGCTCTAGTTTGAGACAAACTCAATTTAGTTTAATTTACCAGAAAACAAAACTTCATATCTCCATTTTACATCTCCAGTCAATGTGTCTTGATTTAAGGATGTTTAGGTATTCGTATTGGAAAACAAGACCAAATACTGAGGAAGAGATTAATTTTAGCAGTGAATGCAACATTTAAGGCCATGTTCTTATGAATTCAAGACTCTAATTTAAGATCTTCATTTGTGGAAGAGTGAATAAAGATCACTGCAGGATTAAGAGTGCACACGCACCTTTCTCGCTCTCCATGAACGTCCCGTAGTCACTCTTGCTCTTGTCGGTGACACCCTCGTCTTCCTCGTCTTCGTTCAGCCACGTGTCCTCGTCCTCCTGGAAGGAGCGGCCGTCCCTGCGATACCTGAGAGAGGACACCTCTTTCACACACACACTCCGCTTGCAGTGCGATTCAGCAGAAAATGCCAGTATCGGAGCGATACCAGTACTGAGTATCGGATCGGTGCATCCCTACTGTTAACGCAAGACAAATAGGCTATATGCTGCGTTTAAATGTGTTGCCACTTGCTTGAGCGACTTCATAATATACAAATCTAGAAGTCAAATGTATTGAATAATACATTGTTTACATTTATTGAGTTTAAACGTGAATGTCTATGAAAGATTGTATTACTGTACTGTGATAAAAGAGGAGCACAATGCTGAGAAAGCATTTTCAGAAGCAGCGTCTGGATTTGAAATCAGGATAAATGTTGTGTTTGTGGATCAGAGCAGCGGAGCAGACGGAGTGTGTGTGAACCCGGCGTCAGTCAGTGTTTCTGGATGAAGGCACCTGCTAAATCCTCGGCTCTGCCGCTGCTTCTCCTGCTCGTAGCGGCCCTTCAGGCCCTTGAAGGTCTGCACGTACTCGATGGACTCCAGTGCCGTGGAGAAGTTATCCACGATGTGTGCAATCAGAGATCTGATGTCCTCCTGATGACGGAAGCACAGCGCTCAGTAGGGTTGGGTCTCGTTTAGGGCTGTGCAATTAATCATCTGCTTGTCAGTGAACTACGGCTCTGTGTAGTAAATGCTGCTCCGTCTGAAAGCACGTGATGGAGATTTACTACTAATCACAGAACCGCTTTACTGACGAGATGCGCATGACTATCTCATGCGATTAATTGCACAGCCCTAGTATCGTTTGAATTTGATCAATTCCAATTCTGATTCCGATTCCCATTTTCGATTCCAATGTGGTTACAAAAATGAAGTCAAACATTTAGATATCAAACATATTTATTCTGTGTCTCTTTTTGCAAAACATTTAAATTGCTGCTGAATACCATTAACAAAAATCAGCCGGCTGCATAAAAACTGGACTCGATTAAGAGCTGTTTTTGTGCAAAATAGAGCTGCAAGATAAATTGAGACTTTATTTTTTATTTTATAAATGGAGGTTATAGTTCTCTCACAATTCTGAAGAAAAAACATTAGACAACTAAAAATCTCATGGAATTTATGCATGGAATGATTCAATGACTCAGTGTATTTGAATGAATCTCTTGAATGAATGATTCAAAGACAAATACATTTTTAACACCACCACCTAAAAATAAAAGATGTGCACACAGGAATTGAGAGGTGGAATTGAAATTTTTATTTCACAAGTGTCCGATTCCTGACCTTAAGTATCCCATTCTGGAATTGTTTGTGATTTTGGATTCGCAGTCCTAGCGGGTCAGAGGAGACTGCACTCACAACCCTCTACACTGCGAGTAAATCACTCGCATATGCGACTAAATCTTCACTCTGGGCGACTAAATGATATCTAATATTAGCCAATGGCTAATAAATTCTCAGATTTTACTCGACAGTGTGTGAGTTGGAGGCTAAGTATAAGTTTAGCGCAGATATATTTTCACTCACAGAACACTCTGACTGAGCGCTTCAGAGTTTCACTCTCCGCCAAGCAATCTGTGATATTTTTCAGTTAATTTGAATGGATGCGCAGCGTACCTGTGTTTGTGTATTTGGCGTAACGTAGGGTGACCATACGTGCCATTTTCCCAGGACGCGTCCTGGCCAGGATTTCTATATTGCCTAAAATATCTAGGTTTTGGCTTTGTTTGCGTGTGCAGACCGATCGGTGTATGACATCAAAGTACCATACAGACGGTTAGCCAAGGTGTCCGTAGAGGGTTGACTCACCACTCTGATGAACTCGAAGAGCTCGATGATGGCCGAGTTCAGCAGGTTGTATCTGGTGCCGTTGTCCAGCAACGCATTGATGACCGGCTCGAACAGGTTTCCTTTCACGATGTAGCGGTTGTAATACTCGTCCTTCAGGCCGATGATTCTCCTCATGAAGCGCAGCGCACCTGCACAATCACATGAGCAGCTCACAAGAATTCTCTTCTGCTCAGCAAAGGCTGCATTTATTTGTACAGTAAAAAAAAACAAAAAAGAAAAACAGTTGGGATGTAACGATTCACTCAACTCACGATTCACGATTAGATTTTCTCATGATTTTGTTTTTACAAAATGAGATTGACGACATGCAGTAAATTAAAAGGTGTCGTTTTATTAGGCTATTGCTGCACGTTTCTTTGTGAAAGTGAAATATAACAAAACTAAATTGACATTTTAAAACAAACCCCAAATCAAATAAGCAAGTGACACAAATAAAAGAAATCTCTTCATATAAACAAACTAAGGTTTTGTCTTGTGCTCTTTCCATTTAAAATTAAAGGCAACCACTGCATTTTAATCATCCAAACAAAGATGCAGCATGAGCAGTTTTTCGTTACATCCCTAAAAAAACAGTAATATTGGGAAATATTATTAGAATTTATGTAACTGTTTTGTATGTGAATATATAGTAACATGTAGGGATGCATCTGTATCGGCTCCGATACTGGCATTTTCTGCCGGATCGGGTTTTGGTCAGACGAGACCGATCCAAATCCGATATAGTGCGTATACTATTCTGTTATTGTTAAGCCAGCCGAAAGGCACAAAAACATTATAAAGCACCATAAAGTTTCCGTGCTCTATATTCCAAGTGTTCTGAAGCCGTTCCATAGTTTAATGTGAAGTATAGATTAATATTTAAGACGTAAGTTCCCGTAAACTCTTCTCTCCGCTGCGTCTGACTGTCATCCTCCATTCAGCATTCAGACTGCGTGCCGCATTCGGTTACTAGAGTCAAAACTATCAAACTCTATCCAAGAGCGCACAATAACTGAGATTTAAAACTGTTAAAAGAAAAGTCTCAAACTATTGCACAGATTTAATACACTACGCATTAATATCTCTTCACTGTTTGCTTTGAACATTTCTATGCTGCACGCTACTGCGCGCTGTGACTCTGTGTTGCTTCAAGCGCATCATTCTGTGCATAAGCACTTTGCTCTGTATTGAGCCTTTCGTATTATAATACGTTTGCACAATGAAAGATTATTAATAGCCTTTCATGTTCGGTCCTATCTATCATGTTGCTGCCTCCATTACTGTGCTATATATTTAAAAGAAATGTCTTTTAATTTATAGTATATACAGTATATTTGTAGTATATATATATATAGTTTTTCATGAATGTATTTTACAACAAAACAAAGAGCAACGTAACATTTGACCAGACTTAGTCCTACACTTATTCACTTATATTTGTTCCCCACTAAATAATGTTATTTCACTAAATGTTTAGATTTTATAAAATTATTGTGCACTCATGATTTTTCTAGAAATAGTTTTGCTGCTGAATTATTCACTAACCTAGTTTATAATAGTATTTTTGTCATAGGTTATGATTATATATATATTTTGTTTCAATTGTTATTTTTCTTTCAAATGAAGTTGTCTTTATTTAGTAGATTGTGTTAAACACACACAAGAGTGATGATCAAGTCAACACAGACGTATAGAAATTCTACATTTATAAAAAAAAAAAACTGCTGGTATCTGATCGGAATCGGCCGATATTCAGATCATTACTCCAGTCTTCAGTGTCACATGATCTTCAGAAATCAGTATAATATGCTGATTTGTTGTTTGCTGAATAATATGCTGATTTTTATATTTGGTATAATGTCTGCTAGAATGTTAAAAAATGTTCAGTGTTAAATATTTAAAATTGTTCTGTAGTTTATTTTTTTGTTGAAAACAGTAAAAAGCACATTTTGGCTACTTTATGCAATGGTGGAAAAAAAAGAGCAAAATGCATGGGGGAAACACGTGCTGGTGGAATTGTAATTTGGGTCATCCCTAGTTCCCAGACGTGAGGATACTCACAGAGCGCCAGGAAGCTGTGTCTGGAGTTCATGAGCGTCAGCACCCTCCTCAGCAGGTCTCTGGTCATGATGTAGCTCTTGATGTGGTACGTGTGATGCTCCACGCAGAAGGTCAGCAGCTCCAGGATCAGAGCCAGCAGCTGCGCCGTCTGGAAGTTATCTGACACACAGCACACAGACAGGCTAGAGGTCTTCACGGATCCACTTAGATCCAAGTGCGGGTTCGGGTCCAAAACCTCTACGAGTGCCTCGGACACGGGTCGGGTCTCGGATACTTTAAAATAAATGTGCTTTTTCCTGCGTGTGCATGCAGGGCTTCTTGTTTTTTGTGCGCAGAAGCCCTTCAGCGGAGATGAGGTAAATAACGTTGTTAAATCCATGATTTATTAGGCTCTCCAGTGTTTCCCCTAGGTTTACAGCTTTGGGGGGATGAGGATGATTGACTATCTGTCCGCTGGTGGGAGTGTGCTCACCTGTGTAGGGCCCAATGAAATCAGTTTTATTTTTTCCTAATTCCGTTTTCATTTTTCTGGATTCTGCTTTATTCTGGACTCCTTTTTAACAGTTAAATAAAATTGTATTAATCAAATAGCATGTCTAATTAATTAAAATCATGAAACACAA